CAAGTCACAAAATAAACAAGGGAAACTTTTTATACTAAAACAATCATATGGAGTCAAATTCAAAAAGTCACATGGATTTGAAGATAGAACTGGAAAGATTCCCAGTTGCTCCAGAAGACTTCCCGTTCCCTAAAGTAAGCATCCCCACTTTACAGATCAAGAAAGTGGAGGTGTAGAGAGGTTAATTAATCAGAACCAAGATCACACAAGAAGTAACTGGACTCTAAGCAAGCTGTCTTGTTTTAGAGCTTGGACACTGACCACCAGGCTATAATTCAAACTCATGTGCATGTCGGTGTGCATATGTACCAGTATTGGAGCCCAGAGTGACAGAGGCTTGTGGGTAACTTCCCTGGCAGCCCCTCTCTGAGGGGCTTCATCGTGCTTGACTGCAGACCCCAGGCGTGATGGCCTGCGCTTGACATCCTTTAAATACTCTATGTCCAACCGTCCCCTCTCCTTTTTTAAAGTTCGAGTATAAAGTTCAAAGCCATCTGTCCCCTTTTCCAGCTGAGTCTGCTTCCCCCACCCCCATGTAACTTCCTGGGTGCTGTGATGCTTTAAGATGAAGGCCCCAGTGTGAAAACTCAAATTAATAAACAGTCCTTAGGCGAAAAAGTTAATCATGTCACAAAAGGGGTCGCCTAACATCTCTGGTAAGGTTAAGTATTGTTTACAGATCATTAAATACATAATTAATTTCTTTTTTCCCCCCGGAGGCCCCATAGGAAAGGACAGCATCTGTCTTGTCACTTCTGTGTTCCTAACATTTAGCATAGGACCTGGCCTACGGTAGGACTCAATAAATATTTGTCCATTAAATGAAGGTTTGGGTTCCCCGCTCCCCGTGCCATCTGTCTTAGCCTGGATTACAGGAAGCTGGGCTTTTCGAGCCTCTGTGCTGCTCTCCCTCAGGAGGAGCTGTCCAGGGATGCAGGAGGGATGGGAGGAGCGAGGGCCTGCACAGGGCACGTTACTGAGCCGGCCGCCAGTTGGGGTCAAGGGCAACTGCTGGATTTCAAGCATCATCTTTCAAAAGGTCACTGAAGACACTGTTGGGAGGGGCAGTGAGGAGCACGAGAGAAGAGTTCGGTGTTTGGTTTCTAGCTCACAGTGGCATCTTTCAAAAGGTCACTGAAGACACTGTTGGGAGGAGCACAAGAGAAGAGTTCAGTGTTTGGTTTCCAGCTCACAGTGGTCACATTTCCCCTCATGGAGTTTTAACGCAACACATCGGGGTTGTCCTGGGGTGGACCCGCAGTGTCCCTGGGTGTCTCACATATCAGCAGCCACCGAGAAGCCCCAGGGCGGGTGACAAGAGGGGTAGGGCATGGGTGTGACAGTAAAGCCCTGTGGGGCTGTGCCCATGGGAAGTTGGTGGGAGTCCTTGTAGAGCTGGCTACGGTGGGGAAGAGGAAGTGGTCCAAGGCCCCAGAGACAGGCGAGACAGGGTGAATCCAAGGAGACACATCGGAGGGATCTGATACGCCATCGGAGGGTGTTTCTACGGTGCCCGCAATGTCGAGCACAGCAGGCATTCTCTAATTATTAAATACCTGCCTCCACTGACCCATCCTTTATCTACATTTTCCCTCTCCTCCAGGTTGATGGGACTTTTAGAGAGAGAATCCCACTTCCAGCTCCTGCCCCTCACTGAGGCGTAAGGCTCAGCGCAGGTCCTTCTGCAGGGACCTGCTCCCCCGAGGGCCTCCTCTGTGCCGGGCGTTCTTGCTCCCCACCTGTGATCCTTTCCTAGGCTCCCTCCCTCAACTCCCAAACCTTTTTTCCGCTTCTTGGGCACTGAAGTTTAAGCTATTTAAGTGGAAACATAGATGCATTTGAAGGATATGGTGGAACCAGGGTTTTGAAATGCAATAAATAAAATTGTACAAGAGAATGAGACAAGTAATCAGCTGTGCTTTCACTCCTTGAAGAGGCTCAGGTAGCAGTCTTCAGACTCTGCTCTTGGCCTGGTCAAGGGCTGTAAATCATCCCCCACTAAAAGCAGCCATTGCACATAGGACCTTGTGAAGGCAGGGCAAGGATGCACGGCAAATGAGGATGCCTTTGGCTAGCTGCAGAGAGGTTCGAGGGTGGGTGGCGGAAGGCTGTCAGACCCTAAGCAGAGTTTCTCTGTTCCAGAGTCATGATCTCCTGTGATGCTCACTGAAAACGTAGTACATCAGTTTGGGGTGCTCTTGCTGCAAGTCACAAAGACCCCAATACGACTGGCTTAAACAGAAAGAATGATATTGCTCATGTAATTTGAAGAGCAGAGATAGGACAGATTTAGGGCTTGGTTGGCTTAATGACACTGTCATTGGAGACACAGCTTCTGTCTCTCCACCCGGCTGTCTATGCCATCAGCTTTCTCCTAAGACTGGCTCACCTTGCAGTCACAAGACGGCACAGGATTTCTGTCCAGCAGTGGAGAGAATCCCTCCTTCTGCCGTGGAATGTAAGTCCTTTCATTATGTCTGGGATGGCCCTGGGACTCCTTGTGTCAGGAGCACAGCCTTCCTCCCCACCCCTCTCTCTACCATCCAGTTTGTCCTTCAAGGTCTAGCCCATGCCCTGGCCCCTCCCTGGCCTCCTGGACTCCTCTGCTTGCCTCCTTCATGTATTGTCTCCTCTCCCAGCAGTCATTCACACAGACTGTCGGCTGCCTGCTTCTGCTCTGTGGTCCTGAACTGCCAAATATGCCTTGTCATTTACTCTCTTGTTTGTGATTGTCTCCCCAGCTCACCTGTACTGGCAAATAAAGAACTGTGTCTCTCACTTCATTGTAGCTCAGAATGTAGGAGTGGAACAAGCCTTGAAGTCACCTGTTGCTTTAGGTGACAACTCAGAAAAGTAAAATGACCTGCCCAAAGTGACTCGGCTCCGGTGGTAGGTCAGTACTAGAACCAGACCCCTTATTGTCCAGTGACACCTTCAATGGAGCAGAGGTGCAAAGGGGACCTGATTTCGTAAATTATATAGGCCCTTTCCTGGTAGGAACTAGTTACCATGTGTAACAATGGCAAACAATTTTGATGGGTGAGTGCTGTGCCTGGCAAAGGCTTGAAGGCAGAAGAAAGGTTGGGAGTCACTGGTGCAGTGGGCTTTGGAGCCGGGCTGACGTGGGTTGAATCCTGCCACCACCCCCACTGTCTGATCTCAGCCACCTCACTCCATTTAAGGCAGAAATGCTTTTTGTGCCCACACGTGCCAGGCACACTCAGCAGAGATCAAGTGTGACTTTGCTTGGGTGCTTTGCAGTCTGCTGGGCAGAGTTACCTAGAGGAATGAAGTATTTAATGCCCCCTGAGCTCCTTAGGGAGTTCTGAAGAATACAGAAGGTAATGCAAGGGCAGGAACCTGCATGGTGGCCGGCGGGAGAGTCTGGCTCCTGCCTCTCACCCCTTGGGCCTTGCTACGCCTTCTCGTGCATTCCCCATCCGCTGTCCAGTCGATGAGCATCACTAAGAATGCACCTGTCACCAAGGTCCAGCCTCCCACACAGTTTCGAGCAGAGCAGAGTGTCTGGGATTTGTCCTTGAGTAATGAAACAGTGAAAACACTGTAAACAGGAACTTTGAAACAGTAATATTTAAGCACTGTCCCACGCCCCACCAGATCAGCGCTGCATCCACCCCAAACCCCATACTCCCCAGCCCCTGGGCCACTCCTGCCACTGGGTAGAGCAGCCTTGGCCCCTGGCCAGCCCACCCAGAAGCCGCAAAGAGAGAACAGGCAGGAGGCCCAGCATGAAAGGCAGGAGGCTTTTTGGTGGGCTCTGCCTACCTCAGCTTGAGGACCCTTTTGTGGGCTGCTCACCAGGGTGTCAGCATTTCAAGCTCCTGATCTGGTCATTAGTCTTCCGTTTCCTGGGGACTGGGCAGGCCCCTAGCATTGCTGTTATATGCTTTGAATCACTCAAGCAGGAAAGATCTCAGTGCCTAATGGAGGCAAAGATAGAAGATTCCACTCCTGCGTGAGGCACTCCCACATACATAAGGCTTGACAAGCAAGCAGGTCTCTGTGTAAAGAAGAAGATGCCCCTTCTTCCACATGGACTAAGCCCTTCCCCAGGGCACACGGCTGGGCAAGTGGTGCACAGACTACATGTCAGCCCCCACTTGCCCTTCATCTAGGGGCCTTTGTGCCATGCACAAACCATACAACTGAACATGGCAGCCCTAGCAACAGGTAAGTACTACATGCTCCTTGTGAGCAGACACTGTGCTAGGCACCAGGAGCAAGACAAGACATAATCCCTGTGCTCAGGAGCTCATACACGAGGGGGAGAGACTGTCCACAGACAAGCCAACCTGTGACAAAAACAATATAGGGTGAGATCAATGTTGTAAAACAGAGCGGGATATGGTGATAGGCTTGGGGGAGCGGTGTCACTGAGAGCAGTGGAGGTGAGGGTGGGTGGCTGGGGAAGGGGCCAGAAAGAGTTCAGCCTATTTGAGAAGCAGGAAGTTTCAGTGGCTGGAAGGGAGCAAAGAGAGAGGAGCTTGGCATGATGTCAGAGAGGTGAGCAGGGCCGGGCTGGGCAAACGCTTAGAGGTCACTGCAGGGACTTTGTGCTATGTGTGCTGGGACCAGCATTTCTGAACTATTAGGTGGAAAAGGGAAGCGGGGGAGGAGTAAGATTGCGGCACCAGGAGGAGAGAAAACGAAGATGCAAGTGACACAGAACAGGAGAGGGAGGACCACCCGAGACAGGCTGGGCTGAGCCCGGGGGCTCAGCCAGAGGATGGTAGGAGGGATGCGTGGAGGAAGGGATGGATGAACAGGGCCGACATCTCGGCAGACCTCGGCATGACTTGTGATGGTGTGGATTCTGGTGGGTTTGGAGGTGACGTTTTGCCTTCCCATGTTACGCTCCTCAGAGCAGTGGGGAACCACAGCCCTCCCATAAAAAGTCGGGTCACCATTTTTCCCACCCGTGGGTGGAAAACAGGCAGGAGGTCCTCTCGTGGACTAACCGGCGTGATTTGGGTTTGCAGTTCAACGTTAAAAAATCCACGGAGCCCGTCCAGCCCCGAGCTCTCCTCAAGTTCCCAGACATCTATGGCCCCAGGCCAGCTGTGACCGCCCCAGAAGTCATCAACTATGCAGACTACACGCTGAGGACCACAGAGGAGCCTGCTGCACCTGCCAGCCCCCAGGCCCCCAATGACTGCCGCCTCAAGAGGCAGGTCACAGAGGAGCTGTTCATCCTTCCTCAGAATGGTAGGGGTCTCCTGCCTCTCACACTTCCATGAGTAACAGGAGGTTTGCTGGCATCTGTATATGCTGGGTATGGCACAGCCTCAGTGTCTGGCATCTGACGCTGGGCAAGCAGGTGGGCACGGAACCCAGAATTACGGTCCTTTATTCCTGCTGCTGAGTTGCCACATTGCTTCTCTCCCAGGCCCCCAGATTTCCACTAGGAAATGGAGAGTCCCTTTCAAGTCATGTGTACAACTATGGAGAAGGGTCAGAGTCACGGTTAAAACCATGGGTTCAGAATCATGGGTTAAATTCTCTGCCCTTTTATATACTTGTTATGTGGTCTTGGTCATGTTGCTAACTTCTTTGGGCCTCAGTTTCCTCATCCATAAAATGGGATCACACTATTACCTGCTTGGTAAGGTCATTGTAAAGCATAAATAAAGTAATGCATATAAAATGTTTAGCTCAAGACCTAGCACAAAGAATGTCATTAAAATATGTTATTATTATTATTGTTCTATTCTCCTCTTCAGCATCGACATCAAGGATGCAACACCATTAGCTATGCAGTGCTATGTTGGGCACTGGGACAGACATGAGGAGCAGTGACAGTCCCAAACCCAGAGGAGCATACAGGCATTTATAAGGAGGTGAAAAATACAGCCTGGAGAATAGATTGTTGTGTGGTTTGAGATTTTGCTTTGTGTGTTTGGAGGCGGAGACAGTGGAAGCAGAAGCAGCAGAACCAGCTTGACACTGCCCCCACTCCTGATGCAGCCCCTGGCCAGTAAACAGTGCCCACCCCACTCCCAACCTGGCACAGAACCACAGTGATTAGCCTGGCCTTTCTTCAAGAACAAATTCACGCCTGTGGCATGAACGAACCCTGGTTGGCTTTCAGCTTGCAGGGTTGCCAGCCCACATTTTAAATAGATTTAAAATAAACCCATTGAAGACTTGAGAGCTAAGGTTGGAGGGTGGGAAACAATTTGCTTGAGGACCCTTGGGAGCGCTAATCATAATCAGAGTCATGAGAGGGCTCCCTTTTCTTGGGAGTCCCAGACGTCTCAAAACTCAGATGAAGCCAGGATTGCACACTCCGCACCAAGGAGACCAAGAGATCAAATCAGAGTCTGGAACTCTGAAAAATTCAGAACCCAGTGCGTCTTCTCCTCATGTTTCCTCATTCCAGACAACAACCAACAAGTTCTGATTCCACAGAAACTCTGAAAAATTCAGAACCCAGTGCGTCTTCTCCTTCTCATGTTTCTTCATTCCAGAGAACAACCAACAAGTTCTGATTCCACAGAGATCTATCAAGAGTCGATTGGTTCAGCAAACATTGACCAGAGGCAAGGGAGCACAGGGGAAGAGGGGGCCAGAGTGACCAGACGCTGTCCCCAACAGTGAGGATCCAAATCAACTGCCGGTAGAGCTCAAAGTCCTGATTCTTGAAAAGCTGAATCCGCTCCTGCTTTTCCCAGCGGTGCTGGCTTTGGTTTGGTTTGGTTTGGGTTTGATTTTGAAGGCTGAGGTGGTCTGAGGGCTGAGCTCTCTGGATGCCAGTCAAGCCCCTTCTGACACTGACCTCGCTGCAGTTGTCCCTGTGCTGCCCTTGGACACCGCACGGGTCCCGTGTGCAATGTGTGTCTCGCTTTACACATTGCTCACATCCCGGCCAATCTGTTCCTTGCTTAGATGTACCAGGGAGGTTTTCGCTGCTTGCAGGAACCCAATAATGAACCATTTTGGAAATTAAATAGTCCTTTATATTTCTGCCTCCTAAATTAGTTCTGAAAATCAAATTTTTTAAAATTCCAATTTGCTTAAAGTAGAGTCTGCGGCCGCTGCTTGATCCTTTAATTCTGGTAGTATTTTGAATAATGAGAATCTGCCAGATGTTTGGCTTCTGTTCAAGTGAGGGGCAGAGTCAGAAGTATTTGTGGTTTTAGAAACTTCTGAATTAAAGGAAAAGTCATGCATTCATTCAGCGAGAATTTATTGAACATGCACTGAAGTCCAATCCACTATCCCTGACCTTGCCCCCAGCATCTCCTCCTGACTCCGTCTTTGACATTTATCTTCAGCCATGAACTCCTGGGGAGCAGGCACTGGACTTTGTGGGAGAGGTGGAGCTGCAGATGAGCCAGGATAGTTTGCCTGAAGCAAGGTGACCAGAACCACACAGGGTGTGATAGTTTTTCTTACTGAAAGTTCACCATGTGCCAGGCTCTGGGTTAAGTACTTTTTAAAAATTCAATGTTCATAGTAACTCTGAGAAGAAGGAACTGTTATCATTGTCATTGTAAAGATGAGGAAATTGAGGTTCGAAGAAGTCAAGTAACTTGTTCAAGGTCACATAACTGTTATGTAACAGCTCTGTCTGACTCCAAAGCCCATATCTTGACTACTGGGCTGTGATGTAAGGCCCAGGACCACAGGTGCAGCCACCATGAATTTGCACCTGGCTAGGTAGCTTGGGGTTTCATTTGGTGGCATAGGTGGCAGAGATGGGAAAGATGTGATCTAGAAAATAGGATCCCTACGTGCGTGTCCGTGACGGCTTTACCTTCTTAACAGGTGTGGTAGAGGATGTCTGTGTCATGGAGACCTGGAACCCAGAAAAGGCTGCCAGCTGGAACCAAGCCCCCAAACTCCACTACTGCCTGGACTATGACCAGCAGAAGGCAGAGCTGTTTGTGACTCGTCTGGAAGGTATGCTGTCAGTTGACTTTCAGGGACTTTTGTGTGTCTGTGCCCCCTGGAGGAGCTGTGCAGGTGAATATGGGAGCATCTGAAGCTGGAGGCATCCCTGGGTGCTGGATTAGCACTCTGTAACAAGCAGACCCTGAAACATGTGATGCTCAGACACATGGGGCTTTTTTCCTCTCTCACATAACAGTTCAAAGTGGAGATTCCTGATGGGTGGACATCTTTCCTCCAAACGGTAATTCAGGGACCAGATTCCTTCCACGTGTGGCTCCATAATCCCTTCGTGCCTCTTGTCATCTGTATCTAGCAGGTCAGAGGAGCAGGAGAATAGGGAGAGGGCTCAATTGTTCCTTAAAAACTGTAACCTGCGCATGGCATGCATCGCTCCTGCTCACATCCCATTGGCTGGAACTCAGTCACGTGGACACTGACTGCAAAGGATGAGGGGAAACGTGGCTCAACGGGTGCCCAGCAAAAAGAGGATATGGGATTTTGGCGAATGGCTAGCCGTCTCTGCCACAGGTGACTTTGACAATAGGCAGGGCTTTGTGCTGGACACAGAGAGGATTTGAGTGGTCAGCATTCCTATAACCAGGTTGTCTTGACGAGGGGGTCAGGCTGTCCCTGGTCTCCCTACCCTGACAGTTCATCGGCAAACAAAGCTAAGACTTCGCAAAGGAGTCGGGGCTAATATGGCTCCTCCATGGCTTCTGGAAGCTGGAGGCTGTGGGTGGGATAAATGGGACTTTTGTATTTAATTTTATTGTTTTTTGAGGGATCATCTTTCCTTTTTATTTTCTTTTAAGATTTTAAATGTATTTTTATATACTTTATTTCATTCAGTCTTCACAGTGGTCCCATTTTGCAGATTAGGAGTCTGAGATCTAGCAACATCAGGTGACTGGTCTAAGATCACCCCAACTAATTGGAGCCAGAGCCAGGACTACACTCACGTCCCTTGAAGCTCTTTCTGTCAGGACACATGGCCTCACTTCTCCTCTTCCTGGGGAACGTCAGCTACCACTTTGCACATGATCATTCTGGAACCAGTCATCAAAGCACCACAGGTGCAAATTTTCACATTGTGAAGCATCAAAAACACCAAGGTTCAGGATATAAAACCGTTCATGAGGTAGTGGCCCAGTGATTCACATTGCAAGTGATAGTGTAGCAAATATTTGAAGTACAGAACAAATGAATTATGGTGTCAGCAGCAACACTAATAGAAGCCAGCAGCAGTGTGTGGGCCCTGGTGCCTGGGGGAAATCTCAGAGTCACGAGGTGCGGAGGGCTCTGGGAAGCACCAAGTCTTGTCCCCATTCTCCAAGGAAGACCAGTGTGTGTTGATATCGACCCCCTTGGAAGATCTCCTATCTCTAAATGTCTTAGTGAAAGGTGAGTCCACAAAGCCAGGGTGGTCAGCCCTGGGGTCTTTCACACATCCAAGGTCATGACCTTTAAGCCAGATTCCGCAGCTTAAAGCAGGGCAGTGACTCTCTCCTGCCTGGTCCTCGAGAAGCCCCATGTCTGTGTTGCTTTGTCCTTGGCTGCAGCTGTGACCAGTGACCATGACGGAGGCTGTGACTGCTACATCCAAGGCAGTGTGGCCAACCGGATAGGTTCTGTGGAGGCCCAGACAGCCCTGAAGAAGCGGGAGCTGCACACCATCTGGGAGGAAGGCCTGGTGCTCCCTCTGGCGGAGGACGAGCTCCCCACAGCGACCCTGACATTGACCTTGAGGACCTGCGACCGCTTCTCCCGCCACAGTGTGGCTGGGGAGCTCCGCTTGGGCCTGGATGGGGTGTCGGTGCCTCTGGGGGTTGCTCAGTGGGATGAGCTGAAGACTTCAGTTAAGGTAGGGTTACCTCTCACCAGGAAAGGTAAAATGACCAAGCTTGGAGACCAAATAACCAGAACAAGCCACAGAGACCCCAATGCAGGTGTGTGTGTGTGTGTGTGTGTGTGTGTGTGTGTAAGGAAGGTTGGAGTCTGAACAGAGTGCAGGGCTGGAAGAGATCCATAACCCAAGATTTGGGACTCTTGGTGTCTAGTTTTGCTTCTACCTTGCCATGCAAAGACCTTTCCTGCCATCATGGAAGACATGTTATGAGTGTATTAGCTCTGGTGTTGACAGTATTATCCCTACTTAAATTCGTTTCTATTCCCTGTGTACCTACTATGTGCCAGACACTGCAGGGGAGATGAGCACCCGATAACGCTGTGGCTCCCCCATTTACAGTGAAGGGGACCGAGGCTTAGAGTAGTTCAGTCATCCATGCAAGGTCTCCCATCTGGGACATGGCAAGCTCGGCCTTGAGGCTACGTTGCTCTGGCTGTAAGTCCTGTGTCGTCCCCATGCCATGTAGGTGCCTGACAGCGTGTGAGGTGCCATCAGCAGGCGCCTTTCCTGATGGATGTGGCAGGCGCGGGGAGTATACATTCACTCCCCACCTGCTCCCGTTTTTGCTATGATCTCTTTCTTGTCTTATTTTTCTCTCTTTCCAAGGCTCAGAAAATTGATAAAAATGGACAGTTACTCTCAGCTGGAAATAGGCTGTTCCAAAGCACACTCTCTAAATAGTGTGTGATTTAGGATTTGTGTGGAATCCCAGCCGGGGGCCCTGCACAGAGGAACCAACGCTTTGGTTTATTCGTCTGGTAAACCATCTTTCTCTGGAGGTGGAGGGGCTCCCTTAGGGTTCTGGAGACTTTAGTGCCACCCCCAAAAGGGCGGAACTCCAGCCTATCTAGGCAGAAGTCTCAGGCACCTAATCCACTTCTAACTATTCCCCTAAAAGAGCAAAATCATTCTTTCATTCCACAAATACCTTGCCCAGTTTCCACCGTGCCAGGAGCTGGGGATGTTGCAGTAGTTAAGACAAAGCCTGGCCCTTATGGCTCATCCATTCTAGTAATCACCATACTTGTAGTTGTCTCTGTTGCACAAATACACTCTCACTTCCACTTGGACTGCTGGCTTGCTTTCCACGAATGTGAGCAATCTCAGAGGGCAGCCTGGAGTCAGTCAGAGGAGGTGACACTCTCAGTGCATGTGGCAGGACAGAGGCCTGAGGCCAGGCTAGGGAGCCCCTGGCTCCAGCTGGAGGATGTGTGCTGATGTGAGCAAGGCGGGTAGAGCTTTCAGTCACTGCGGCCCAGATGTGTTTCTTCTCTAGGCCAGAATGAGTTAACAAAGGTGCCAGCAGCGGTGCCCCAGTTCTCACCGGAAGACACTCAGCTGAAAGTGGCATGTGCGTCACCGGAGGCCATAGAGCAATTCACTCCAAAGGCAGCTTGAATGATTCATTGACAGCTCAAGAGAAAGATGGAGGCGGGCAGGAAAAGCCATGAAAGGATGGAGAATGAAAGAGGGTTGTAGGCCTACCTCGCTTTATTGTCTAACTTTATTGAGCTCCATGGATGTTGCATATTTTTACAATTGGACGGCAAGATCCTCCACCTGCAAAAAGATTGTGACTCATTTATTATGATACTCACTTTATCGCGGTGGTCTGGACTGAACCCACAATAGCTCTGAGGTTTGCCTGTATTTTTTTCAGCAGATACTTGAAGCAACAGGGCTGAGGGGCAGATGCTGTTAAACCCTCTGACTGTGGTGCAGCTGGCTGGGTTTGTCTGGGGCTCTTGCCCCCTCCCCGCTGCAAAGGTGATGAGCCCTTCACAGGCTGGCAAGTCCAGGCTCCTCTCACCTGGGCAGGGGGGAGTTGAGTGCTCAAGCCTGGTCACCCAGTGGCTACGTCCCAGGCCAACCATGGACCTCCAGTCAGTTCCCTTAAATCAGCAGAGTAGTGCCTATTCCAACTCTGCTGCCACCCCTCTGGATACCTGGACGCCTCCCAGGGCCTCAGTTCCTTCGCTGTGAAATGAGAAATCTATCCGCTGAGGACTCTGGAGAGCCACAGGTTTAGAACTTGGGCTTTGCTGTCAGACCAGACCTCCATTCAGGGCTTAGCTTTGCTACTTTCTGGCCGCGTGACCTTGCCCAGTGACGTGCCCTCTCTGAGCATCAGGGTTTTATGCTGAAAATGGGAATAAGATCAGTGTCGCTCTTAGGGTTGTTGTCAAGATAAAATGAGATGCCTCACCATTCTTTCTCATAAATATTTACAGTGTTTCAACTGTGTGCTGAAATATTTACAGTGTTTCAACTGGTGCTAGGTTGGCTTTGTGGAGCTTACAGCCTAGCGGGATAGATAATATAATTACATCTGGCACATAGTAAGTGTTTAATTAATGTTAGCTGCTATTATTCACGCCATTACCAAAGTCCCAGCAGCTCCCAAATCATTTCATCTTATGACTAGTCGCCTTGGCTAGTTGAATCAATAGGGTCATGCTGAAGAAATTTTTCCTGGATGAAATATGTGACTCAGGCAGAGGACTGGCCAGGTCCTTCATCCAGGCTCACTTCCAAAGCTTAGACTGGCCCTTATTCACCCAGAAACAATGTTCCCACTTAATAATCACAAGAAGTAGTCATTGTCCTTCCTTAATAACCGATGGTGATAAAGCAAACAATTACACAGTGCTTAGTGTGTCAGGCACTGTTCTAAGCTGTTACATATTAATTCATTTAACTTTTACACCACCATTGCTTGGAGATGTTATTATTCCAATTTTGCAGATGAGGAAATGGGAGTTTGGGAAAGTCAGATAACTTGCCCGAGGTCACACAGCTAGTAAATGGTAGGATTGGAACTCAGACCTGGAGAGTCTGGTTTTAGAGTCTATATTCTTAGCACCACCTTTGGACTATGACAGATGTCTGCCTCCTGTGGGGGCTCTTTTGGTCGTTTTTGTCTCTCAATGGATTTCTTGAAATGCCAAACAATTTCTTTTTGGAATTTCAATGGAGACACTCTGTAAAGCTGCAGATGGGGACAGAGCATGTTGGTTGCTTTGCAGAGGCCTCCGCACCTCCTGCCAAGAGCAATTATTGCCAGTGGTCTCTGGTGCATTACCTAACATCATATGCCCAGCTTTCTGTTGACATAGTTGGCCATTCTGTTGACCGAGCAAGGCCCTGCTCAGCATTAGTACATGACATTATTGACTCTCTCGGCCCTGCAAGGGCTAGAAAAAATTATCTTTTCAGAGTGATGAATCAGAACTCCCCACTGCCCCAAGAACCCGACTGATCAATGCTGTGATTCTCTGTGTTCCTTAGGACCCTAGTGTTCCATAAAGATGCCCCAGGAGCTGGGGAGTGGGGGGGATGAAGGATGAGAGGGGGCCCTGGCCCTCTACCCCTGCCATATCCAGAGTGTCATCTCTTTGATCTGTTTTATATGTTATTTGAATATAAGATATTTGGAAAATCACATTTTGTCGCAAATGACACAATGTCTTATTGAAGCACATGCCACATATAATTCTTCTGTGCCCTCCAAAGGAGGAGGGTGGGTAAATGGTTTTTAGAACTCCTGTTGGATTCAAGTTCAATGTGATGGCAGCCTCAGCATTAGTCAGTGTGGCAGAGGCCACCCCTAAATGAAGCCCCGCTCCTGTATCTTCTCTTCTGTCTCAGGAAACTTCTGCAGGAAGCGGAGAGGTCCTTCTCTCCATCAGCTACCTCCCGGCTGCCAACCGCCTCCTGGTGGTGCTGATTAAGGCCAAGAACCTCCACTCTAACCAGTCCAAGGAGCTCCTGGGGAAGGGTGAGTGACGTGTGAGAGGAGAGAGCCAGGGGCCCTCTGGCCCCTGGGAATGTGTGCAGAGGGAAGTGGCACCTGGGAGCCAATGGGGTCAGGTGAGCAGGGAGATGGGACGTGAGTACATTTGTGGAGTCAGCCTCAGCTGTGTCCTCCACCCCAAGTTCACGAACCAATTTTTAAGGACACACTTACTTCTTTAAGTTCATATGTATTTACTCCTGGGCCAGTCACATCAGTCAGGGCCCAGGAATGAGCTCATACCTACCTGGGACTTCTAGCCTTGAAGATTCACTGTGACAGGAATCAGTCTTACCCATTGGTCATAGGAAGCCAAGAGTCAGACTGTAGCCATGGAGCGGAGTGTCTGAGCTGTAGAGGAGACTTGGCCCAGCCCTTGTCACCCAGGCCTGGCTGCACCCACCTTACGGTCAAGTGTCGAGAACCCCAGGGTCTCCTTCTCCCATCTCAGCTGGCCTCCGCTGTGTTCCCCACACCCACCCCAGTCTCTTCTCAGCCTTTGTCAACCTGCCACCCCCACACCAGCTGGGCGTGGGTGATGGCAGAAGGTATGTGGGTGCATGGGCTGAGGCAGCCTGCAGTTTAAGGCGTCTGTGGTCCATTTACCCAAATAAACATCTCTTCAATTTTCTGGAAGCCTTGGTCTGTCCTTCTGGACGTTTCAGCACAGGCCCCAAGTCTTGGAGACCAAACAGGCTCTCTTGTCAGAGCAGGAAAGCAGCACTGGTTAGCTGTATGATACCTGGACCCAGACCAAGTGCTCATAGCAGGATATAAATAAATGGGTATTTATAGCAGGATACAAATAAAGAATTGCCACTGCATTCAGAATCTTTGAGCAAAAGCTCTTGGGTGAGTGAAATCAGAAGAGATGGCCTTGCTGACAGATTCCCAAACCAAAGGTCAGAATTCAATGCTTTTTCCAGAATTCAATGCTTTTTCCTCATCCCCTCCAGACAATTCTTTGCCTCCTCTTCTTTTTTTATAGCTCCTGTCAGGACAATTACAGCACAACACTTTGTCTCTCAAATATCTGCTCAAATAAGAAACTAACCACGGGGCGGGGAGGGGGGGGGTGATAATTATAGCAATAAATACAGAGTAACAATTATTCTAACATTAGCTTTGGGAATGTTGACCAATGAAAAAGCACTCCAGGTCCTGAGCCTTGTGATGTACTTGAAAGCTCATCTGGTGACCCATTTTCCTAGAGGCAGGGTTTCCTAGGGGGTGGCTTTATTTGTGCAGTGCATGCGGGGGCCCAGGCAGCCTGCTCTCACCTTCCACGTGAAGTTGGGGTCCTCAAGTAAAACTTACAAAAGAACAGAGGTGGAGAATGCAACCAACCAGCAGGTGACCTACTATCTTAATAATAGACAAAAATGCTGGTATGAAGAACCAAGGGGATGAAGACATGGGGTAGCTTAGTTTTTCTGGTCTGAGTTTATAATCAACCTGCAGGATGTCGTAGCCATTGTCCTAGGCCTAGTTTGATGTAGGACATGAAGGCACTTGGAAAGGCTCGTGGCAAATGGTTCCCTGGCTGTATTCTAGCATAATCGTGGGCCACCCCATGACCAGACCTATAGCTTATGCCATTGTCTGCTTTCCATACTTGAGTGTAAGTTCCATGAAGCAGGAACTTTTGCTCATCATACACTGAACACTTAATAATTGTTGAACGAATACGTGGCCCATTGTGGGAGGAACCTCAATGCAGATCTTGAGCCAGAGACCCTATCTTTCCATCCCCAAGAGGAAGCATCATCCTAGGCCCCACACCACATCCCAGAAGCTAACTCTTGGCCCTTCTCTCCATCTCTCTTTCTCCTCTGTCCCACTCCAGATGTCTCTGTCAAGGTGACCTTAAAGCACCAGGCTCGGAAGCTGAAGAAGAAGCAGACAAAACGAGCCAAGCATAAGATCAACCCCGTGTGGAATGAGATGATCATGTTTGAGCTACCCGCTGACCTGCTGCGGGCCTCCAGCGTGGAGCTGGAGGTGCTGGGCCAGGAGGAGGAAGGGCAGAGCTGCATGCTGGGCCACTGCAGCCTGGGCCTGCATGCCTCGGGCTCCGAGCGCAGCCACTGGGAGGAGATGCTCAAAAACCCACGCCGGCAGATCGCCATGTGGCACCCGCTGCATCTGTAGCCAGCTGCCTGGTCCACCTCTCTTCTGGGGCACAGCTCCACCCCTCCAGCCTAGCTGTCTTCTGTGACCTCCTCCTTGGGCCCCATCCTCATTCTGACACCCAGAAGACAGCCACGTTTGCCAAGGCCAGGACCCTATTCTTCTCTCATCACACTCCCGTTCTAAAAAATAAGCAAGGCAGGGCAGTGTGTGGACATTTGGGTCACGCTGAGGAAGGCATTTTGCTCATCTGTGTCATTGAAGAGACACTTATCAAATACAGCCCTAGTGTAGGTTTTGCAGGTGGGGTCAGGCCAAGTGCAGGGAAAGCTGAATTTGGGGAATAACAGAGCAAAAAAAAAAAAAAAAAATGTGGCTTTTTAAAAATAAGCATTTAAAAAACGATAAAGGAAATACAGGTATCCTGGATCAACTCATAAAATTAGAGATTGTCAGGGTGGGGTGAAACCTTAGCCAGAATGAGATCAAGCTCTCGACCCGAGGCGATGACCCAGCAGTTCTCAGACCTTAGTGTGTGAAGAATCACCAGCAGATTCCCCAGGCCCACCCAGGGACCTTCCAAATCAGTGTTCCTGGCTGGACCCCGGGAACCCTCTTTTTAACAAGCACTCGGTGGTTTTGATGCAGAGGTTGGAGCACCGCATTCAGAGAAATCCGTTCCTACAATATTTCAGACAGGTTTTCGCAGTCCTTGTTGGGGCCCCAATACCTTGGTTCCAATGATGGACAGCTCAGCCATCTGTGTTGCGAAATTTGGGGACCTCTGTATTTATTTAATTATTTTAATTCTTAATATTTCATTTGTGCTTTTCGGATCCTGCTCTTGGATTGAATTTGTACTTTTTATTGAATAACTTTATTGTTTTATCTCAAAATCGGTTTATATTATACTTGGGGAGAACTTCCCTGACAACATAGAGGTGAGATCCCCTATTAGTCATTGGGCACTAGTTGTCATGCCTTCCAGCATCACCCAAGTGACCCTCTGAGACAGACCCACCCATTCTCAGCGTCCTAGCCACTTCCAGAGAAATTCCATTTGGGGAACGTGTTAATTAGTCTACTACATCTGGCTATGTGGAGGTGGAGAAGGAAGATAACTTTAAATAGGAAATAAAGATTTTGCAAATTCGCTTCCCCCTTCAGTTTTCAGGGCTTATCACTTTATAATCCGTAAATAATCAGCAACTACGTTCCAGATTCCTACCTTATTATTCTAAATAGCTGTCCGCATGATTAATTACATTATAAGCCTTGCCAAGTGGATATAATATTTGCCCATGAACCAGGAGTCCTGGGTTCTGTTGCTGGCCACCTGTAAAATAGGACTGATGACGTGGCAGCTCTATCTGTGGGAACGATGCGATAGACAAAATCGTGCTCAGACGGTATAGGCTAAAAACAAACTCTGAGGCCACTCGCAGATCATCTTTAAGCTTCAAGATGGCAGCTGACGATGCCTAGAAAGTGTCGCGACCCTTCCAGGCATTTCCAGAATCATGGATTCTGCATTTGAACGCCTCAATACTGACATCCAAACTCTGAGCCTTCTGATGTCACCCCAGTCCCCTGATCTAAAAGAAACTTCCTAAACAAGATAGATAAACCCTCAACAAGTCAAGTTATTCTTGGCCTCTCCCCAGGACTCTGAGCAGGGAGCTTATCACCTTTAGTCATTATTTTCCCTTTCTATATAGAAGTAGAAACGCATTAGAAATAAGTTCTACCCACCCTCTGAAGAAACAGAATAAATATCTGATTCTTCTTTAATGGGAAAGTCTTTCAGATAATTGGAAATCCTGATCACTAAGGTTGCCCACCTCCTGCCAAGGATTTTTCAGCAAAGCCTTTATTAGTGATTTCCTATATCATGTTTTTGAGACAGCCTCCCCTCCCCTACTGCTGGTCTCTCTTTCTTGGTTGGCATGATTAAAAGAGAACAAAACATTCCCTATGTAAGCTGGCTGGTACTCTCTTCTTGGTAACATCTGCTACTGCAATCTAGAAAACTCTGGATTCTAGACTTAAAATCAGGGAATGTGGTTCCACTTCCTTCTAAATCTACGCACCTGCCTACAGTCACACCAAAGGATGTTTGAGATGGATTGGGTGGTGTCTCCGATCCCAGAAATATCTACTCCACCTATGGTCATTCCACCATGAGGCATTCATTTCTTTGGATCGCCAAAGTTTAGTTTTCCAGAATCTCCAAACTAAAGGTTACCCCTGATAAGAGTCAAATGCCACCACAGAACATCTTAGCAGGCTTGTATGGAAATAAGATAGATTTTGCAGGGGTTTTTGTCTGTTGTGTTCACTGGTGTATTACAAGCACCTAGAATAAAGCTGGTTCATTGGCCCTCAATGAATTTTTGTTGAATGAATTAATGACTAAAGGATGGATAAGGGAGCAGACAGAAAAAGACACTGCAAATGGCATATAAATCAGAATGCTAGCTGATGTCTCAATGGTAAAGGAATCGGAAATCTGATGGCTTAGAAATTCATGACATTGAGAATTACCTTTCACCTAGTGACAATTCGTAGCTCTCCGCATAAATGTAATTAAAGGTAGAAAAGAATATAATCGCTGTGCTTTTCCACCCAAACTCCATCGTGGTGAATTTTATGTTACCCAGAGATATTAAATTGCCAAATCAAAAAACACCAGTAATCTTTGCATCATCTTACCTTGTACCAGATACATTTGCAATTTACTACCAAATTAGAGTACCTGAGTCTGTGTGAGTGCATCTGATCTTTTTGAAAGGAACACCTTGTACTTTGCCAGAGAGCGTCTTCTAAGAAGGGCATGAAGCTGAGGTGAAAATAAAGAGAGAAACCATGTAGACTAGACTGATGGCCACAAGATGATCTGCTTCTTTCATAGATACCGCAATGGGGATAAAGAATTGGGAGTCCACTCTCATTAATCTGTGACTCCACTTATTATGTGAAATCAATATATATTTGTTGAGTGCCTATTGATCAAGACCTTGCACGTGTCTGTCCATTTCAATTTGAGATATGACTCTTGGTGTGGGACGTGTGACAAACCACCCCAAATGATGCTATGTAAAGAGAGCCAGATGGAAGAACTGTTCTTCAAGGGCAATTCCTTTGGGATGTAAGGAGTCCCGGGTGGCAGGTGGCTGCAATCTAAGCCAAATCGAGGTGAGGACCAAGAAAAGAGTGATCTAGTCTTTGTGATTTGTTTCTGCCACCCATGTTTCCTGTTGTCAATGCTGTGTGTGTTTGTTTTGTAATTATGAACTGAAGCACAAGAAGACGCATGAGACATTGTAGTCATATGTCTGGTGTCACTCTTTGGAGCAAAAACCTTTCAGTGATAAATAAATAATTCCCAGCTGGGTTCACTGGTGTTTTTTTCTTTTCTTTTCACTTAATATTTTACACATATAAAATGCAGAAAAATAATTTGATAAACACTCATGAACCACCATCAAGTGTTATAAAACTGGACAAATACAGTTGAAGTCCCCTCGGCCCTTTACTCAGGAGACCACCATCCTGAATTTAGGATTTCTCGCCCTTCGCATTTTTTAACCCTTTACTACATGTGCATCAAAACTCTAAGTGCCATAGATATTTTTGTGCATTTTAAACTTTATGTAAATTGTAGTGTACTATCTTTGATCCATGTTAAAGTTTTGAGCTCTATTCATGCAGATATATGTAGCTCTAGATCATTTGTTTTTCACTGCTATATAATATTCCATTGTGTAGATATACCACAATCTCAACCTGTTGCTGATGTGTATTTAGATGGGTTTTTTTTTTTTGCTGTTGCTATAAACATTCTTGTGCATGTCTCCTTGTACACATGTGCAAGTTTCTCTACCACATCTATCTAGGAATGAGTAGAATGGCTGGATAATAGATTGCTCTGTGTGTGTGCACATGCACCTCAATGATCTTGCTTGAGTACTGAATCAAAGAGGCTACATATAAGTAGGGATGCGAACATTACTGGGGCTTTAAACCCATTCTTGAGAAGAAAAAGCAGGTAGAAACTAGAGACTCGTCTTTCTTTAATATTCCTAAAAGAAATACTCCCATCACTGGAAGAGTCAGTGATGCAGCCAGAGGAACCCCGAGATGGTGGGCAGGTACAAGGGGAATCCTGGAGTCCTGTCACCTAGGCCCTCCTGGTGGCCTCTGCAGCCTTGGTCTCTGGAAGAAGAGGACTGGGCAATACGCCAGAAGCAGGGCCTGAATTTTAGAGTCAGCATTGGTCACATGGAATTTAAAGCAAAGTGTTTAGAAAGGATAAATACATGCTCCATAAAACCAGCCATGAGATGTCTTCATTTTCCAAGTCTGTGCATATAATTCTTTATTTTGTATTTTAAACATATTTTAATGCTAACCAGGATTTTTATTTTTATACTAAAGTAGGAGAAGTGGGTCTTATTCCACATAGCCAAATATTATACAGACTTTCATGTGTAATAATGCATATGAAATGGCCCGCTGGAGCCCAAAACTAATATTTGAGAGTCTGGATTTATATAAAAGAGAGATGGGAGAGGAAAGAAGTATTCTTAATCACTTTATACAAGGCTTTCCACTGAACGGCCTTAAATAAACTCAGCTCCTGCACATAAAGTGGACTCAAATCTTGAGAACTGCGTGTAGGAGCTGAGACCCTATAACCATCTTAGCTTTGTTACTGGGCCACCTTCATTGCCCTGGGCAGGTCATTTGACTCTGGACCTCAGTTTCCACTTCTGTAAAATGAATTTGAATCAAGTGATCACTAAGGTCCCTTCTAGATTGAACAGATTTAACATTCTGTGGTTCTGTGATCTAGACTGGCAACAACATAGCTTTCACACATCTTTGGCCTCCAATCTCTTGTGTAAAACAAACTAAACTGACATCCATGTGAACTTGCTCTTCCCGCCCCATGCCTGGTGATACTCCCTGGCATCTTCTGACAGTGCTTCCTGACAGCCACCCACTCCTCCAGACAATATGCAATGTCACCTGAAGCTCTGAGTCAGTCTCTTCTCATTTCCTTAATTGCTAATGGAACCGGTGGTAATTTTCCACCCAAGAGTTTCTATATTTTTAGAGCCAATGGGAAGCACCACCATTTCTGGAGCTCGGAACACTAGCATCTGTTCCGTCTCCCTCCCAGGGCAGACGCCTGGCAAGGAAAG